AGTGCCAATCAAACTCGACTGTGCATATTCCAATAGGCTTATAATATGTACATATTTGTAGGCAATGTTGCTATAATGAAAATATAATGAAGCAAGCAATGTTTTCAAGATATTCAGATCACACTGTTGACTGAGTATAATTTACGCAAAGACGACCTACAAGCTAATGCCCCAAAACTTTTGTTTCTACCTCATCATTTACATTTAAATTAAATGTACAACCTAACTCTCTGAAGTCCTTTTCTCTTCATTCCAACAGCTCTCAGCAGTCTAGCATGATTTCACTCTCCCTGTCTTCCCAAACACAAAAGCTTGATATCCAGGATGTAAACTGGTCTCTATATCTATCCAAGCATTTTTAAATCAAGATGAGGCCACTTCGACAATCATAAACCACAACATACCAACTCAAAACTAGCCTACAGACAATGTAAAAAAAAAATAAAAAAATAACACAATACCTGGACATGCCTTTAGTGGACCCGTCTCACCATGAGATGTGTTGACTGGAGCACAGAGGGTGAGAGTGTCCTCACAAAAATGAGTCTGTCTGATATAGGGGAGGAGAGGCATGGTGGGCAGAGCTGGGTATGAGGATGCTCTCGTACACAGGCTTGTTTTGACCGCACGACTCTGACTTGGAGCAGAGGAGGAAGGCACACCTGGGTGTGAGGTTATGGAGCGTGCACTGTCCTCATAGTGAAGCGCACTGGGTGGGGCATTAGTATGGAGCTTAGATTGTTATTGCACTGGTGTTGATGCTAGTGGTTGTGTTGTGTCGCGTCCGGACTTTCTCCGAAGAAAGTCCCCTCTGGCTTGTAATCGAATAGATGGTTCAAATTTGTAATCAAAAGTTATTTATTTTATCAAAAGCAAAAACAGTTACATCCAGTTATCTTCATTTGTTACTCTTAGGTGGACATATCACAAGGCATCATTGTTGCACCACACATTCATTAAGTTTCTATTTGGCTTTGGCCTTAAGGCACATTTTTGTCACAGTAGTCACCTGGGTTTGGCTGAATAAATAATTACAACAATGGGGGCGATGAAGGCAAATGGGATTACTCGATAAACTGACTTTCATCCCTCAATATTTCCAAACAACATGCACGGTTGATGTCATCGTCTTTGGACTCATAGCACAGTAAAACAGATTAAATCCACGTGGTGGCTCATCAGATCCATGACCACCTGTTTTGGTGCAATGTTTATTTCTGGCTGCCTTTTCTCACCCATTAAGGAATCAAGCAAATGGAAGAAGTTGAAGATTGTAGTAATGGGATGATGGCAATTGCGTGGCATGTCAGCCTGGTTGGAAAAAATTGCATAATATGCCACATGCTATCAGCGAATTCTCCCCCATAGGAGACAGGAAGGTTTGACACCTAGGTGGCGAGAGAGGAGTTGTGGCATTAATAACAGGCGTCTAACGTCTGACACACACACAGTGAAGTTTACAGACAAAAATAACCTCACATATAACTAATAATAGCATGTTTTACCTCCATGTTATGAGTAAATGTAAATCTGGGATTTATACATTGGGCTGTTTACCCTGTATGTGTTTATTTGTCCGTTCAGTGACATTTAATACCAAATGGTGGTGGTCATGTCACAGGTTAGTGGCACAGTGTGAACAGAAGCTGTTTTTAGGAGGGTGGTGTGTGTTTTACAAAAACAATGTCAGTGACTGAAAATATAACTTCCCCCCTGGTAAATGTTATCCTGAGAAATTGGTTTATTTTTATTTCTTAATGATAAGAAATCAAATCCTCTCCAGAAAGGATCAATGGAGCAATAGAGTATGACGATGGCGAAATGTAATTTTCAGGACCGGTTCTGATATTTCATACAAATTGCTCAAATATTAAAAAACCTTTCCTTCCTGCATGTTTCATACGGCGGGCATAAGGTACAACAGCACAAAAATAAAAGACCTGCATGAGCCCAGTTTAGATTAGATTAGATTAGAACTAACAGTTTTGGTTAGCTCCAATGCAGTAGCTGTTGCTGCCCACTAAGCCTAGAAGGTTAGGGAATAAACCCTTTAATACTTTTTGTAAATCATGGATTAAAGCATGTTGGGACAAAACGAAAATCTTGATTCTTACCTCTTTTATTCTTCCTCTTCTCTTATCTCTTCTTGCATAGCTGTTCATCGTCAGACAGTACACAGTTTTTAAAGGAAGTCCTATAACTAAGTTCATGTCTACTGCTTTGCAGCTGCATGAGCCGCATTTGTTTTCCTCCCATCCATGACACTGCAACCTCCATTGTTTCCGACAGATTGGGCAGAAGCTCTTCCCCACATCACTCTCATCACATGGTTGCATGATGATGTATATGCAGGCAGCATTAGGCACAACAGCACGGGATGGTTATTGTGCTTTGGCCTAAATGTTTGGCTAATGTAATTTGATAGAGTAACCAATGTGCTGAGTGCACTATCCTGCAGCATCAGTGACATAATATCTAGCATAATGCTGCCATCTTCTGGTTGTGTACAGATGGTGCACGTCTAGCTTTGGCAATAATTCCCAAAATTTTCTGACTTTATTTCTGTGAATCAGTATGTATGAATGTAATGTGTGTATGTATGCAAACCTCTTTCCTAATCACAAGGCAAAATGCCACACTTGGCACTACCCCATACTTGCCTGTTTGAAAATATTCCTGTTGAGTTGACCCCCATCGGGATGTTTCCAAAAGAAATGTTGTAGAACATGATGATGAGATGTGAAAAGGCCAACTTTATTAAATATTCATACAGAGGCCTAGGGGATGTCTTCCTCCAGAATTCAAAATATAATATTCATGTTGTCCTCTTACCTCCTTCTCTCATAACCTCAGTTTGCTTTGTGGAAAGTGGGTCAAATGAATGTTTCACAAGGATGTAGCCCCAGAAGGTGCCTGCATAACCTCAAAAACACATACAGCATCAACAGCTAGATAATGCAGTATTCCATTCATTAAATACACGTTCACATATATTAGAAACACATACAGGCACACTGAGACATACTGTACAATTGCATGCACTGGAAAGACATCACTGCTAATGCTCACATCTTGACATTGCTCAGAAATGTCAGTTAGGTATCTTACACAAGCCACAGCATCTGTTTCGGAAATTTGGTTTTCATGCACTGCTTTTCTTCACCTTCCCTCACTCCCTTTTCCCACTTTCTGTCCGTTTTCTTTCTCCCACTCTTCTCTTTCTCATTCATTGCCCTTTTTTCATGTTTGTGCATGACGAGCACGTGTTCTCATAACTACTCATTCAGGATGAGTCATTTCTAACAATGCTTTACCTTGCTAAGCCCAGGCTAGGTGGAGTAGTGCAGAGTTTCACTAGGTGTTTCTCTGCCTGTCTGTCAGGTTTTTCAAGTTTGACAAGATTTCTGTTGAACGGCATAGAATTAGGTTAAACCAGGTGGAGTAGGTGTGAAAGAGCACGTATAGGACTCTTAACAGTAGGAAGCTATTAGTTTATCTATATGTCCACATTTCCCTCAGACATTAGCCTGCCCTTCACTGAAAAAATATAACCTCACTACCAGCTTTGCTTACAAAGTGATGTACTGGAATAAAGACATGCCTTTTCACTCTTAAATGTGTTGTCTGTCTTTTTTAAAGGCAATATATTGTGGTCTGGTATCCATATTACTCCTGATTGTACGGAGATAAAGGATGAACCAAACACGGATTGTGTTTTCATCATGAAAAGCTGAATTTGGTTAATGTGCAGTGTCATTCACGACAGGTTCTACTATTGACATTTAACTTCATGTCGTCATCTCTGTGAGCTCCACGGGAACTTTCGCTTCCCCATACTGACCTGGCAAGAGAGGAGAAATGGTCTGAGTTTCTGACACACTCTTATGAGACACGCATGCATGTTACAGCAAACACACTCACACACACACACACACACACACACACAGACTAAAAAACCCACACATGATCATGCACATATGTTCATGTCTACATGCAAAGAATCAGACTCTGTATCACCTTTATTGGCCACTTCTGTATTTATCACAAGGGAAAGTATTTTCTTTGAATCACATCTCAAAGACGACCATCCTGCAAACAACACCCATTTATGAGCCTGACTGAGCATGTTGCATGAGTATTACAAACACCCTTCGGCACATTAGTAAAATATGTATGAGCCATTGTGTGTGCTGCCCTTGTTCAAGGCTACTCATAGTAGCCTCTAAGCGTGTCTGCTTGATGGTTGAGCGCTGTTTATTGTGAAGATTAAAATGTCTGATGCAAATAGGGCTCCTGAAAGTGGTGTTTCATTTTGTGGTCTCAAGTCAATTGACAAAAATTCTGGAGAAACACACTGAAGTGTACTCGTTGAAACATATGTTATACCCCAGAGGCATTGTATAGTAACTGGAGCAGTCTTAATCGTGCTTCACTTTTTTATAGCCTATTTATAGTTTCTTGCTGTGAAAGAAAGAGACCTGTGTAACATCCCAGAAGCGTTTCAGTTCAGGGGGCAAATTATTTCATGTCCCAGGGAATGCTTGTGGTCTGGGAAATCCTAGGGCCCGGATGACAGCTCTGTAGCTGAACCATGACCTCTCTGACATCAACATTACAATAGCGCGTTATTATCATGAGAGGGAAATTACAATTGCCATGATTATTTTGTTCACACTTGTTCGGTATTCAACAATTCCTCTCACATTGAGTATTGTATGCAATTATCTTCACAACTTACACCTTATTTCTTATCTCCTCCCATTCTGCACTCGCACACATTCCTGCCATAAAAGCCACGAGCAGACAGGACCAAACCATCTCCACGGGGAGTGCGCTGAGAGTTGTAATTTTATTGACCATTATTTCCTCACTCGAATTTTAAACAGAATATAGTTTCGTGTTGAAATTTCTTAAACAAAACAAAAGTCCCACCATTTGCCGTGCCAGAATGGGTCTCTTGGTAATTATGTGGGACACAGCTGGGAAAGGTAAACCCCATTCCCAAATAGTGGACTCGTCCTAACACTGCCATGTTGGATGGAACTGACTCAGGGCTCTCTGGCGGACGGACTTCCCAGGAAACTTTTTGCCGTTTTCCGTCTTCGCTGAGTCGCTGCAATTGTTTTACCTTATTTTAAAGAGGAGCGGGACGTAGCACCGCGTCCCTAAACGGCATACATTCCTCGGCACCCCAATATCCCTGGAGCTCCGGCACAAACCACCGGTGTGACGGGGGTCGGAGCAAGGCCACGGATGACCGAGGAATTGTTTATGTATCTTTTTTTTGTATCTCACACAACGAGTTACAGTCGGTGCACACTTAACACATTGATCCCTAATAATGAGTGGACATCCGTCGCAACGGCGACAAGTAAATCTCGGGTCGATACAACTGACACCGCAGGAAAATGAATGCCTTTTCAACCACCTTGGCAGGAAATGCATCGTAAGTTGTTTTTTTTTGTTTTTTTTTCACCCAATCAAATTGTTGTATAATAGCTGAGAAAAAGAAAGCTAATAAAGCTAACCACCTTGTCTGTGTTTGTTGTCCCGAGACGGACGACGACGTTAGCTACGAGGTGTGTTAGTGGCCTTTAGTTTTAATGTTGTGATATCGCAGGTAACGTGTCCGTCTTCCCTGGGAACCACTTGAGACTTCTAGCTGAAGAGGGTGGTTTGTTTTGACAGTGACTGTGTCCGGCGTCCCGTTTTGGGACGGTGACATTTTGGGCAACAGCAAGTTTTCATTACTGCCCCCCCCGCCCGTGCGCCCCTAACTTAAAAGCTCGACACACCTGGATTCACCCAGGAAATCCTAAAAATCCCGCTGCTGCTGCATAGCCTGACTGCAATCAGCCTCGCGCTTGCAGCATTGAGTTAGCGGGTTTTTTGGGGGGGGGGGGGGCTGTTAAACCCATCCGCGCAAAGTCATATTTTTTATACTGGCATTACATAACATAGCTGGACCTTGGTTGTTTTTCGGGAAGTGTGTATCCGCCACGAGGAATGCGCCGACCAGACAGCGCTGACTAACGTTAGCTATAAAGTCCCGCTAATGCCAGTCAACACAATCCGAGGGGAGAGCAGTGGAGGGGGTGTGGGCTGCGGGTACCGGTGTGACTGCAGTCGAGACCAGTAGTGCACTGTCACGACTCAAATGTTGTGAGATAGTCAGATATTACGTAACACGTGTAGCATCCTGCTGACTCATTTTTATGTTTTTGTGGAATATGGCATAGCATGCTAGCCCCAGACCCAGCAGATTGTAGCCACATTTTAAGTAAAGACATTTGCAGCTGCATCAAGCACCATTACTCAGCATAGCTTAATGTCATGTTTCTTTTATACGTTTGCTTTATGATCTCGCAGGACAGGTTTTTTCCCCCTTAAGCCTCATCCACTGGGTGATACATCTGCATATGAATAAACTACACACACAATTGGGGCAGATACAACTAATATTAACAGACAGCATCAGAACAAAGCACGTTTGCCTTCCAGAGTAGTTTTAATTTGCACTACTTAATATAAATTATGTCACCCAGTGTTATCAGGTGAAAAGACACATTCACCTGTTAAATAGCCTTCAGATAAGACTTTGATTTGTTCTCAGGTCACTTCCCCATATTGATCATGCTTTCCTTTAATGTGCACTCTCAAGGTGGCGTGACAGAGAAATGGCTCCTCACCTCCTCATTCTATAGTGAACCAGTCATGAGCTTGTTTTGTTTTTTTGAGGTATCCATGTTTGCTTTGGAAAGGCTACATTTCCTGTCCCCGTGACATGGGATGTCAGGCCTGTATGTGGTCACCACCTCCCGCTCTGCAGCAGGTTCCTGTGGCGTGTCTTCCCACACCTATGTGACCTGTTTTAAAAAAAAAAAAAAAAAATCCAATGACGTCTTTCCTCTGGCATTCTGGCAATTGTGTCATTGGGCATGTGACGGAGAGACGTGGAATCGGGAACATTCCTCACAGTCCTACGCGCTCGTGTGTCCGCACACATCCTTGCATGCAGAGAGAGTTTGGGAGAGAGGTGGACTGTGTGTGTCTTTATGTGTGAGAGAGAGTGGAAGAGGCGGACATTGTGCGTCTCCCCCAACAGCCTAATTAGAATGCCCACCAGTGATTTAGTGGCCGAGTGATCGCGCCTTACGTAATCTGTGTGTTTATTGTGCAGAAAATGTGAGAGTCACAATCACCTTTACTTTGTCTTTTTATTGTCTTCTTTCCGAGATGCACAGCCATTAGTTGGCTCAGTGCGGCTGAATTAGACTCGATTTATTCTAGCAGTAAAGGGCTTGTTGTGTGCTAGCTTGAAAAACTGATACAAAGGGGCAACTTTTTTGCACTACATTGCTTGATTTTGCAACGTGTGTGTGTGTGTGTGTGTGTGTGTGTGTGTGTGTGTGTGTGTGTG